AGGAAGGAAGGAAGGAAGGAAGGAAGGAAGGAAGGAAGGAAGGAAGGAAGGAAAGAAAGAAAGAAAGAAAGAAAGAAAGAAAGAAAGAAAGAAAGAAAGAAAGAAAGAAAGAAAGAAAGAAAGAAAGAAAGAAAGAAAGTGATCAAATCACTTTCCTGTTATAAGACCATAGCTTTCTATGTTCCCATTGTCCTGTTATATGGGGAAAAAAGACTTTATTTGACGCAGCTCCATTTTACCACTAATTTAACTTACTATATCTCTGTCTAGAGGCTGAAAAGAAGAATTAATCAATAAACCCTAGATTTATTTTGGACATCTGGGTCCAATCTGCATGGTAACTCAGACTGCAGTGAATAACCGCATATACAACTCTTTTGTAGTAACCGGTTACCAGATATTTCCCAGCTACTTTATTACAACAACATTCATGCCAATGGTCATATCATATTGGGGCTTAAAGGAATTGTAATCCTAAAATCTGGAAGGCAGCAGATTACCCCTGATTTAGCCCACCAAGGCACTCAAGGTGAAACTTGCCCTTTTCTGCATATTTCATCAAATCAGAACCTTGCAGGATTTGAGCAATGATACGTCTGCCTTGCCAACTCTTTATGCTGATTGATTTACGCAAGCTGCAGGGTATTATTAATGACTTATTCTCTTGATAAAGCTTTCCAAAAAGAGAACAATGCCACCGTGGCTCTTTTGGCAATGTTTCACGAGCCATAGAACAGAAGCACAGAAATAATCCGCAGAATTATTTGTTCGTGTCATTATAGGAGTCTATAAAAAAAAACAGTGCATGGAAGAACAAAGAAATTCCCTGGGATATTGAATCACTCTCACCTAGGAAATAGCTTAGCTCACTTAGAGATGGGTAAGGCGAGGGAGCAAAGGAGCCCTCCCTCTCCAGAATGAACTGGCACACAAGGGCCCTTTCAGTACAATGAAGACAAGGCGTTACACAATGTCAATGGCTAATACTGCTCCAAATGTATTGTCAAAATAAGATAAGTTTATTGTCATTTTTTTTTACTGTGAGCACACCGGCCCACATTCAAAATGAAATTCTGTTGCTTGTTCGTCAAGAGAAAGTATACATATCTACCCTGAGTTCCGGTTTGCAGCGCTTCGGGGCAGGCAGGAATCCACGATCATGCGTAGTTTCTGCCTGCGCTCGCCGCTGGAGTGCCCTGAGCCACCTGGCTTCAGGGCTAGCCACCTCCGTAGAAGGTGGTGAAGATTAGGGGGGATCTGGCAGGGTCGAGAGAAATCGCACCTCTCTTCCCTAGCCGGCTAAACCCCCTTTTCTGAAGGCGGTAGAGCGGCAGTCAGAAATGGCCACCACAAAGAAGCGCTCAGCCGGAAAAGAAAGTGCAGGAGGAGTTAAGAAGAAGTGAAAGTTTTTTTGCTGACTGGGACAAAGCAACAACGAAGGTACCCTGGAACTTAAAATTTGCGAAAGATACATCGTTCCCAGAGATTTACAAGCGGCAAATGGAAATTAAAAGGGAAAGTTCTTTTTTTTCACTGTCCTTCCTAATGTTGATAGTGAACAGAAATGCATGAGAAATTGGAAAAAACCGCTTTGGCATCAATAGGTAAACTGGATAATTAAATGCTAAAGGGATAATAAGGATTTCTGAACATTTAAAAAAAATGTTTGCTGTAGGTGGGAAAGGAGAGGAAAAGAATTGGAGCAGGATTTGGAAGTAAGGAGGAGATTGCCTAGATCATTAAATACTAACAAGACTTCTAAAAGATACATTTTAACTGGAACTTTATAACTAAACAATAACCCCAGAAAGAGAAAGTGAAGAAAGAAGAAAGTGCTAAAAGAAACAGCTTATTTGGATTGTTTGGTGACTTTGGGACTTTCGGAAATTATCTTTGAAGGACTAAAAACACCTAGGTGGTTGTTTTGGGGAAAAAATTTCTTTTTACAATGGCATCACTTGTGGATGAATTGAAAATTGAATTCAAAAAATACACAGAAGAAGAACAAGAAGGGAAAGACTCTCTTGGCACTCTTTTTCAATTTTTAGAAATGGCGATTTGCACCTATGAGAAACTGACTGTGCAACAAGATGATTGGGATAAAGAAGAAGCCATCTTTGATGAACAAGTAACTTTGTTTGGGGAAGAAAGGGAGAAGGAAGAAAAGAAAAGGGGGACTTTAAGATTTAAAAAAACAACCAAAAAAGAGAAAAATAAGGTGAAAAGTGGATACAATGTTAGAAAACAACAGAAAGGGGGAATGCAGAAGAAGAAAAGGGAGGTGGAGAGACAAGGGGGTAAAAAGGGCAGGGAGAAGAAGAAGCAAGGGAGGAAGGAAGGGATGAGAAGCTTCAATGGTGTGGAGCAAGATGTAAAGAAACAAGTTTCATTTAGAGATAATGGGTAAAATTTAATTGAAAAAAGGATTCTGCAAAGGTACATAAGATTGTATTGTTATATTTGTACTTAGAAATAATGTTAGAAAATTGGAAACAACATGTGATTAAAAAATGGGATAAAATATTCAGTGTAACTTAGTGAAATTTTTGTGAATAAAAGGAAGGCAATGAAATAAATAAAAATTGAAGTAGGAGGAAATGGGAACATTTTAATGATACAATGATTTAAAATATAAGTGATGTGAAGTGGGGGGGAAATAACTGGAAAGTATATGTTCCCATAAAAGTATGATATTCAATTGAAAAATAATGTGTAAAATGTTTAAGATTTAAATGAATATTAATATTAATGATAGATTTGAATTGGCATGGATAGTTGTTTTAATTATATTACATATTTATAAATTTTTCCTTTTTTTTAAATATAGTGTGTAACTTTAGAATGTATTAAACAGAATCCCAATGGAAGTTATGTACTATATTAAGTGTTATAAATTTAGGGGAAAGAGTTAAGGCGTCACACTCCAATTAGTGTACAGGAGAAATTTCGTTTAAAGAGAAAAGATAAATAGATAGCTGGAAACAGAACAGACAAAGAATAATAAGTATAATGATCTAAACTGAGATGAGATAAATAAAATAAAACTAAGAAAGTTAAACGAGGTGAGAAGCTATATAGAAAATGGAAAATGGTAATAAGATATGGAATGGTATATAAAATGAACATGAATTTGAATTTGTGTCTGTATGAAGAGATGTAACCCGGGAACAAGCAGCTTTCAGAAAAGATGTTTTATGTTTTTATGTTTTTTTTGTTTGTGTATTGTCTTTGAAACTTAATAAAATTTGTTCAAAAAAAAGAAAGAAAGTATATATATCTACCCAAACACATATATAACACACATATACACATGTTATACATGTACATAAATATATACCTGCACCAAACATATATAACAATGTTACACTGCTCAAGCATCACTTATGTGCCAGGTCCTGGATAGAAGGAAATGAACGATCAATGATCTTTTCTGCCATCCTCACCACTCTCTGCATCACTTTCCTGTCTGAAGCAGTAATGCTTCCAAACCAGATAGTAATGCAATATGACAGGATGCTCTCAATTGTCCCTCTCTAAAAAGTGGTAAGGACACGGAAGGAAAGATTACCAGATTAACAGAGTTGGAAAGGACCTAGTAGGTCATCTAATCCAACCCCACCCACCCACCCAAGCAGGAGACCCTGCCTATACCATTTCTGACAGAAGGCAGTCCAGTCTCTTCTTGAAAGACCAGTGATGAAGCTCCCACAATTCTGAAGGCAACTTCTGTTCCATGGGTAGATTGTTCTCACTGTCAGACTAAGACAAACTACTGTTGGACTTCTTGTTATAGACCAAAAGAAATGAAAATTTAATTTTGAGATTTGACAATTAGAAATTATTTATGAATACAGAAATACTGTGTCTTATTATTGATTTTAGATTAAGAGGTTAATATATTTTATACCTGTATCTGCACCAAAGAAAGTTAGCAGTTATTCTTCTATTTTCTCTTTCTCTTTTTTCTTTCTTTCTATTCTTTCTTTCTTTCTATTCGATTTATACTCCTGATATTGCTCCTTTTAACATCACTTTTTCCTAATCACTTCTTTTTTTGCCTCTTTTGTATTTTACCCTTTGCAGAAACTTAATTTAAAAAATTAAAAGTAAAGAAAGGATTATTAGTAATTATCCTTGGGAAGTTCATGCCATTAACCATGCATGACTGAATAAACCACAGTTGGCTAGGCTTACAATTGGGTGCTAAGCTATATGCCACATTTTCAGCCAAATAGCTGAATTCACACATTGCAAAGCTAAATCCTCCACAAAACCCTCCAAAATGTCTTCCAGTGATCCGTCAATCCAGGCAGCACTTTTGATGACAGGACCATCTAAATGTCTGTGGAGACTCTCAATCATCCAGGTCATGGTTGTCCCAGAGGTGCTGATGACAGGAGCTGAAGAAGCTTTTTGGATGAGAAGCTAAATGTCTTCAAAGAAAAACCAGAAAGTCTAGTTGCCTCTTGAAAAAGCACCTTTGGGACAATCATCTTCAAACTTGACAGCTTTAAGACTTGTGGACCTCAACTCCCAGAATTCCCCCTCCATTCATGTTAGCTCAGAAATTCTGGGAGTTGGAAGTCCACAAGTCTTAAACATGCCAAGTTTGAAGACCCTTGATCTAAAATAAGAAAGCACAGGTGTGGATGAATCATCTTCCTGCTTCCTTCTTAATATGATAACTTCTCTTCTTCTCTTCAAAGACTTAAAAGCATCCATTGAAGACATATTGCCCACCCTGAAGCAAGAAAATGTGCTTGTTTATTTCTTAAGTAGAACATCTGACACTGAAGGCGTGGACAGCTTCCTGGACAAGACAGATGCTGCTTCAGATGAATCTGTCCCAGTGTCTTGGAGATCAGATGTCACTTTCAAAAGCCCCGCCATGTACATTTATACCTCTGGAACTACAGGTAGAATAAAAGAAAAGTCACTAAATTGGCTCCTTGTTGATGATGGAAGATAATTAACATATTTGGGAGAACATCATCTTAGCTGAGAAGCAGGACTTGCAAGACAACTCTTGACACATTTTGAACATTGAATCCAACAAGTTAAATACTCCCAGATAAATTCATGTGTACTTGAGAAAGTACAGAAATACTGAAGATTGGATGAATGGTTATGATAGAGATAGATAGATAGATAGATAGATAGATAGATAGATAGATAGATAGATAGATAGATGATAGATAGATGGATGGATGGATGGATGGATGGATGGATGGACGGACGGACAGACAGACAGACAGACAGTCGTAGACTTTTAGAGTTACCTAGAGAGACAATATATATATAGATAGAATGAAAGATATAAAGGTAGATACTAGAAATAGCTAGCTAGCTGGAGAGATAAAGAGATTGTAGATTGATAGATTGGAGTGGGGGGAGGGAGGGAGAGAGAGGGAGAGAGGATTTCTCTCAGACTTGCTAACTTTTTAGATTAGAATAGCTCCTTTCAAATGGTAAAATGCTTTTTCATGTATAAAGATTATTTCAAAAATATACATACAAAGAAGATATACAACAGACGAGTCAAACCATCCCCAAATTAAATGATAAATATTGCAGATGCATGACATAGTACAGATGCTACTGTATGACTCTCTAAAGGAAAGAATCTGTTTGGGAAGTCAACTAACCTTTTTTTCACATAGGTCTCCCCAAAGCAGCAATGATTACTCATCTCCGTATATTATTAGCTTGTGGTTTGATCACACTGAGCGGTGTCACTTCAGAGGACGTTATTTATACCACTTTGCCATTATATCACAGCTCTGCCCTCTTGCTTGGAGTAAATGGTTGCATCATGCAAGGTAAGAAGCCTAAATGAAATTTTTAAAAAATATGTTTTAAATCAGGAAGATCTCTCTTGACAATCACATAGTCTTAAACACATTGTGGAAAAGCATTCAAAAGGTATTCTACTTTTATCTATCTGTTTCTAGGAACAAGCGCTGGATGAATCTAGAATCTTCTAGGAAGATTTTTAATGAATTATATGAAACTATTTCATTGTGAGTTAGATATGATCCAATTTGCCTCTTGGCACCGATTTTTACTCAAAAAGGAAGGAAGTTGTCAACCTGCTCCTCGTTTTACCTCCCTGTTAATTTTCCCTATAAATTCTACAGTCTAAAATCTAAGAAATACTGAAAGGTCATAAAAGGATGGAAAACTCAACAACTATCTTGCTCAGCAGTGGAAATTTTAGGCTCAATTGTGGTCATAAGTCAAGGACTTACCCGTATACCCCCTTAGCTATTACTCTTTGTAGGGTAATTACTATCTTTCCATGTAGACCACCATTGTTTCATATCTCTGAAGTTCTTCTGTCAAAAATTTTGAGATCCATTGCCTTCGTGCCCCAAACTTACCCAATGGTTAGAGCTGGTCATCGTTTGTCTCTCCGCACAGAGTTTTGCCTCTTAGATTCTGTATTCAAAGCCTGGATGTGTTTAATCACGTAGTAGTATCCCTCAGCAACCATGAGCACCATTGCTGCAGACTCTTGTTCTACAACAGGATAGAATTGCTCAACGGATATTGAGTTGAATACAAACTGTAGAAGATGTTCATTGTCTTCTATCATCCTTGGAGGTATCTACCCAAATAGACAACTAAGAAGGTGATGGATAGACTACTTTTCTTCAGCAGTAGGACTGAGAACATGTTAAATGTGTGGATAGATGCGTAATCTATTTCCCATTTTTCCCTTCATTCCCAGGTGCCACCCTAGTATTACGCTCAAAATTCTCTGCTTCTCAGTTTTGGGATGATTGTAGGAAATATAAGGTGACCGTCATACAGTACATTGGAGAGGTGCTTCGTTATTTATGCCATGTGCCCAAGGTAATCCTTCTTTGACCTCTTTCCTCTTATCGCTTTTGGATTCATCATCCCCGTTCACCAAATGGATTACTTCAACATGCAGAATAGAGGAAAGTGCAGTCTTTGGTGGTCTCTGAGCTTGGTTGTTTTCTTGCAGACATTTCATCACCAAACTAGGTAACATTATCAAAGCACTTCATTACCTAGTTTGATTGTGAAACGTCTGCAAGAAAACAACCAAGCTCAGAGAGCATCAAGGACCCCACAGTTCAGTCTGGAACTATGAATATTCTCTGCTATAAAGGAAGGTCTCTGGTGTCCTACTTTCCATCTCTCTTCTGATATTATTATATGCGTAAAAGGGTTAAGAGTGGAATATCCAAAGGGCACTCCCTATGGGACAGTGCATACTAATTACCTTCAATATTGCTTTTAGCGGCTTTAGAAAGTTGTGTGTCTTTTGATGTAGACAGCTAGATAATACGGAGGTTATAAATAGTGAGTTCTCTTCCTTTTTAAACTCTTCCTTGTGGTTCATGCCTCTCCCTGCTTTTTGCCAGCTCCCTGGTTTTTTGATGTTTGATGATGTTCAATCAATAAACATCAATCCATTTTCTTTCTTTCTTTTTTTGCTAGCTGGAATGAAAGGAGTGTGACCTTGCCCTATAAGTACAACTGTTCCAACTAAAAGCAAAGAATTAAAAGCAAAGAATTCACTCAGCTCAAGACAATTGGGAGAAGCTGTTAATTCCAAATGAATAGAAGTTTATTTCTGTAAAGATAAAGAGTGGAAATTTACATTTCTAAATATTTATATCGGCTCTAACCCCCTCATCTACAAACCAAACAGAAACAAATGGTTTATGAAACAATCTGAGAGATTGTAGAAGAATCTTTGGAGGTGTTTGTTTGATTTTAAAGAAGGCATAAAGCCACATAATGACTGGGGAGAAAGTGTCTGAAAGATTTTTTTCCATGAAGACAGCAAGCCAAACAAATAATTTCCCTTGATCACTAAAACTTGATTTTTTTCTAATTAGGCTTTAATTGTCTGATTTCAAGCCAGATAGCATGGCATTTGTTGGCTCCTTGAGATAATCTAGACAAGAAGTGCAAACTGCGAGGGTTAACATTACATTTAGTACAAGTTTACATTAACAGAGCAATTTTCCGAGTGGATCAGAAACCAAATTGCAAGTCTGAAATTATTTTCCCCCTCCTTTTACTTTCTAGAAAACTCACTCACGCATCATCACAAAATCTCTAGAACCGTAAAGCCTACAAACTTGAAATTTGGCACAAATGTTCCTCTTGGCTTCTAGGTGCTCACTAAGAAAGGATTTTTCCAAATGACCATCAGAGCATTAGTATTTCGGATATTATTATTATTAACACACTCTGATGCTAAGGAGTTCTACTCCCCCTCCCCACCTGAAAAGAAATCTGTTCCAAATGCAAAACACAAGCAGAGGAGAGGAGTTTCAGTTTTAGTTACACAGCACCAAGCAGCTTTAGTACCGAACAGTTAAGCTAAGCCTACCTAGGCTCCTTGCTGTCTCCTTCTTGCTCATACAGAAAATACTGTTTCAGTTTCCAAACAGCCCTCAACTCTCTCCCACACTGACAGGACACTAGCCAGATGAATATCAATGGATGCTGGTAGGCAGAGACAGATTTTTTTCCCCCTTATTTTCCTCCCCAAAAACTAAGCCCAGCCACATCGTTTTGTAGCGAAGCACAGGTATCCAGCTAGTATAAGATCAATAGACTGCTCTTTTGGCCAAAGGGACCCCAATACTGAAGATTTAACAAAGTTTTGTCCAGCATATTGTTAAAAGTACAATAGTTGCATAAATCAAGGAAGTGCTCACAAGACTGAATAACACATATTTGTGATAATAATGGGATAATATGATCCAAGGAGACATTGAATGGTGGAAGGTGCTTAGCCTACAGGTGTTAAAAATCTGTACCACTAAAGATTTTGTTATCTGGCAATTAAACCGGGAGGCATATTGCTCAATTTCTATTATAGTAACAGGAAAAACAGGAATTTTTTTTTGCACCTTCAGAAGTATTCATGCGTACTACTATTGTATGCAACATAGTAGTAATTGCTTGCCACATCTGAATAAATGGATATGAATTCCTCAGGGCAGAGTTACACATAAGTGAACAATATATGTTGCACAGATGGTTATTTGCAGCAACAAATCTAAGCCATTTCAATCCGTATTTTCTCTCTCCCTGGCATAATTTTGCAGTGTGTTTCTTTTGTGGTTATATACACAGCCGGTTTTAATGGCAGCTGCTTTTATTTTTCTCTTAACACCCAAAAGGATTAATGAGAAACAAAAGGACAAATAGCAGATCCGGAGGTTGATAATAGTCTGTTTCCCCTAGAGGGAAACTTTACTAGGTGGAAAAATTGATCTCAGAGGTTCACAATCAGAGAAAAGAAGGGAGCGAAAGAAAGCTAAGAAGGAAAAAAAATGTCAAGCAAACCAAAAGATTCATCTCTTAAAAATATACCAGGTTATTTAGAATTAGCCACTTTTACTTGTTTGGGTAAACTAAATTAACTAAAACTAGACACAATTTTCAAACTCTCAATGGTGTGTAAGAAAAGTGTCATGGAACCCGTAAAGATACAAGAGTTCCCAGGTGCTTATACTCAACACTTTAATGCACATTTAGTGACGTGTGCTTTGCTCCGAGCTTTGCGGCTGCACAGATGGCGTTAAAGCTTTTTCCTGGTGGCATAGAAAGAAGATGCACTTCTAGCTCAACCATTTTGCATGCATTCATCCAGATCGTTAGAAGATAGATTGAATTAGATGTATGGATAATATTCAATGTACAATCATCTACTTTGGCTGTATAGATTATCAAGTTATTCTTTTTTGTCTAGTTTACTGTTTCCCCACGTTGACAACTTTCAGATGAAAGAAAGAGAGAGAGTTCTGGACTTTCTCAACTGTGTTAATATCAGATACATGATATGGGTTCCAGACAGATGAGCTGTATTCAAGTATAGGTCTAGCAAATGTTTTGTATGCTCTAGTTAGTAGTGTGATATTACCAGAAAAGAAGCTACGTAGAATTAGGTTAACAACTCTTAATGCCTTTTTGGCTATGTAGTTACAGTGGACTGTAGCACTTAGTTCATTAGAGGTGAGTATTCCAAGGTCCTTTACAGAGCTTGGATCATCAACAAGATCTTGACTATTTAGCTTGTATTTTATTTTCTGGTTTTTTTTGCCAATATGTAAGACAGAGCATTTATTTGTTGAGATTTGAGCATTTATTTGTTGACATTTGAGGAGTAAGGACTCCTTATTAGCACTGATGATGTCACCCAGGGATGAGATTCAAATTTTTTAACAACTGGTTCTGTGGGCATGGCTTAGTTGGTGGGTGTGGCTTGGTGGTCATGTGACTGGGTAGACGTGGCTTGGTGGTCATGTTATTGACTGGCCATGGCCAACTCAACATCACTCACATCAAGGCACGCATCTCCTCTCCCGGCCTCTCATGACTGTGGGGATGCTGCAACAGTCGTAAGTGTGAAAAATGGTCATAAGTCACTTTTTTCAGTGCCATTGTAACTTTGAATGGTCACTCCACACAAGCAAAGTACTAGCAAAGGAGGGGAAAAGACTCCAGAGATGTTCCTGAGACAGGAAGTCTAGTCCTGCCCAGAATGTAATAAGGGTTAACAAGAGAGGCAGTTTCTGTAAGCAACACCAGAATGTTTCCTTCCTGCCTTCCTTACAGGATTAGGCCAGTAATTTCTTCTAACAACCGGTTCTCCAGAACTGCTTAGAATGTTAACAACCGGTTCTAGTGAATAGGTGTGAACTGGTAGAATCCCAGCCCTGATGTCACCTCATTTGTGTCATGAAACATCTGAAAGAAAACAAGCAAGCTTAAAGAGCCCCAAGGAGCCCTCACGTCAACCCAGAGCTACAAATTTTCTCCTTTATTGGTAGTTCTAAATGAGCTGAGATCAATTCCAACAACTCTTAGCTATTCTTACCTTGGTCACTGCTGAGAATTCTGGGGGTAGAACTCAAGACATCTGGAATTAGTCACACAGCTTGAGAAATATTGGGCTAGCTTCAACAGGACAACATATTCTCTTCCTAAATAAAGGTTTGTTCCTTCTGGTAAATCAGTGTAGAATGCTTCTGTAACTATGAGACTGAAACCAGTTTATTTGTTCTCTACCAAGAAACCTTTGACACTCTTCTGAAATTGTGATCTGTCTCTTTGTAGAAAGACAACGACCAGAACCACATGGTAAGACTTGCGGTGGGAAATGGCTTACGGGCTGATATTTGGAGGGAATTCATCAGGAGATTTGGAGACATGCGCATTTTTGAGTTTTATGCGGCCACCGAAGCCAATGTTGGATTTGCTAATTACAGTGGAAAAATCGGAGCTGTGGGAAGATTGAATTACTTCCACAAGGTATGAAAAAGTAAAGATGTGTATCCTTTTAATTTGTATTTGCCAATTGGGTTTTTTTTTTTCCTACTATCCATCAGTGGTCTACCCTGAACCTCCTTTGAAAACTAATTTGCATGGGGCTTTCCTAAAAATGTAATTATTGTAAATAGGTCTCAATTATACATCCACAATTAAATCAAAAACTGAAGAAGGGGATGAACTCTTTATAGAATAATTCAGATAAAAGGTATACATTGGGGGGCATTTTGATTTGGAGCACTGAAGAACCTATATGTTTCCCTCAGTTCTATGAGCTGTCTTATGCATCAAGTACATATAAGTTTATGTATCAAGGAAGGATAGGACAGAGAGGTGAAGTTCAATTTCCTTGCTGAATTGGAGAAAGAAAAAAATGCTCTTCTTTTTGCTCTTCCTGTTTCTTTTCTTTTATTTATTTATTTATTTATTTATTTTATTTTATTTGAGGATCTCAGCCCCAGCTGAACACTGAGGTTAAAACTAGTTTTTCATTCCCAATTTTTCATATATGGAAACTTTCAAGCAACCAGTTAACAAATAAATTAAATATCTAAGTTGTTTATGCCCTCCTAACATTTCAAATTAGCTTGAGTTGACCCTGTGTCATATTTCCCCATGATTATGGGAATCCAAACCCAGTTCCTTACCTGTTGAGGATTAACGAGCCAAAACTAAGTATCCATAGCCTGTTGGACATTTTCTAGTTCATTTTAGAAGTATATGTGCAACATTTCTAAATTGGTTAGAGGATTGGACAACAACAAACCAAGGATAATCCTGAAGGCCACTATCAAACCATGCATCCCTGCAGCAAGACAATAATAAATTGCAGTTAAACTAGTTTATTTGCCTTCTTTAAAAAAAAAACCTGCTTTATTCATTGATTCCATTTGTATAATAAACTAAACCAAAATTGTATCTCAAAACAGCATGTCAAAGCAATAATTGTTTCAGTTCCTTATCTTTATAGCAAGCGGAATTGGCAATAATACTTAAAGAGGGAAGAAGATTTTCTCGGCATCACATTTCCGTTGTATATAATCTGTCTATATGAAATGAAAATGGATTCACATGTATTAATGCTGCACATATTGGCCCTATTTCTTAAATGGCAATTTTTTTTAAAAAAGGTTGCAGCACTTAAACCTATCTGGAGGGACTGCATATGTTCAAAAAAAGCATTGGAATCTCTGTTTTAAACCCCTAATGTGATCTTATGCTTTCCTTAGAAAATAGTACAATACGAGCTCATTAAGTATGATGTGGACAAAGATGAACCTGTCAGAGATGAAAATGGCTATTGCATAAAAGTTCCTAAAGGTATGTTTTGATATCTTTAATTGCCATTAAAATTCAGCACCAGATAACATGCTTCGAATTGTCTTTATGCTTTTAGGAAGAATCAATGCTCTATAGCCCATTTGAAAAACCTGGGAAAATAGAGACTATTGCTTAAATATCCAGACTTTAAAAATCAAAAACATCGTTAGAAATATACAACAAAAGGAGTTCTGTAGTTCAGGGCTCAGTAATGGATTGGTACCATCATTTATAGTCTTATATAATAGAAACCTTCCTGTCAATTTCTGTGGAGTTTGGAGCAAACTGTTCATGTTACAACCAGCCAAAAATACTTACACGAGGTAAGAACTTAGATCTAAGATAGGGGTCTCCAAACTTGGCAAATTTTTGTAGATTTCAACTCCCATAATTCCCCAGCCAGCTGGTTGAGGAATTTTGGGAGTTGCCACATGGAATATGTTAACTTTGGGGGCGGGAAGAAAAAGTTTGCTTTGGTATTAAAATAGACAGATGTGAGATATTCGTTGTTGTTTCCATGCTTTTGTCAATTACAGAACTTTTGCAGGGGGGTCTACAATGCATTCAGGCAGTCGGTGTTACTCTCCAGCAGACTTTCTATATCATTTTGTTTGAGTTTTGTGTTCCTCCTAGGTGAAGTGGGACTGTTAGTTTGCAAAATCACCCCGTTGACTCCATTTAGCGGTTATGCAGGATCAAAGAGCCTGACAGAAAAGAAGAAGCTGAGAAATGTTTTTCAGAATGGTGATGTGTACTTCAACAGCGGAGACCTTTTAATGGTTGATCGTGACAACTTTATTTATTTCCATGATCGAGTTGGAGATACATTCCGGTTTGTTTCTCTGTCTGTCTCTCTCTGTGACTCTCTCTCCCTCCCTCTCTTTCTTCCTCCCTCTCTCTCCCTCTCTCCCCCCTCTCCTTCCCTCCATCCCCACTCTCCCTCCCTCAACCCCCCTCTCTCTCCCTCCCGCTCTCTCCCTCCCTCTCCCCCCTCTCTCCCTCTCTTCCTCTTCCGTCCCTCTCCCATTCCCTCCCATCTCTCTCTCCCTCCCTCTCTCTCCTCCTCCCTGTCCCCCTCTCTCCCTCCCTCCTGCTCTCTCCCTCCCTCTCCCCTTCTCTCTCCCTCCCTCTCTCTCCCCCTCTCTCTCCCCCTCCCTCTCCCCCTCTCTCCCTCCCTCCCGCTCTCCCTCCCTCTCCCCCTCCCTCCCTCTCTCTCCCCCTCTCTCTCCCTCCCTCCCTCTCCCTCCCTCTTTCTCCCCCTCCCTCTCCCCCTCTCTCCCTCTCTCTCCCCCTCTCTCTCCCCCTCCCTCTCCCCCCTCTCTCCCTCCCTCCCGCTCTCTCCCTCCCTCCCGCTCTCTCCCCCCTCCCTCTCCTCCCTCTCTCCCTCCCTCTCTCCCTCTCTCTCTTTTGTCTTCCTGTCAGCAGGAAATAAGTATAGATAGTTCATTATATTTTGAAATGTGGCAGATCTGTTTCAGCATTGAAACTGTAGTTTAATATTTAAGGAGTCCGTCAGTCAATTCCAGCACGCTGAAAGAAAACTATGAATTTGTAGTCAAATGGTCTAAGATATTATGTTGTAGGCTAAACATTAATAGGGCACATGGCAGCAACCTGTGACGGGACTCCAAAACTCTGGTTTCGACTAGACTCCTTAGCAATAGCGTCCTTTGAAGCTGCTCTCCAAGGTAGAACGAACCTTTCACAATTGAGTTGCATCTTCTGGATAGTTCATTGACTCCAAACCATGATTGATTGATCAGCCCTGGATTGATAGCCTTCTTCCACCCTGGTCCCCCGATACAATTCTTAGATTTGAGTTTCCCCCTCTAGCAGGCACTTGGGACTCATTTATGACAATAGTGTCGCTGTACTCTGTGCTTTTTAAAATGAATTCTGTTCCCTTAGATGGAAAGGAGAAAATGTGGCCACAACAGAAGTTGCCGATATTTTAGGACTGATCAACTTTATTCAAGAGGTGAATGTGTATGGTGTATCTGTGCCAGGTATGGAGCAAAGATAGCGTGTCTTCCAGGGGTAGAGGAAAGGAGGGAGGGAGGGAGGAAAAAGAGGGTGGGAAGGAAGGAAAGGAGGGAGGGAAGAAGGAAGAGGAGGAGAATGGAGGGAGGTAGGAAAGGAAGGAAGGAAGGAAGGAAGGAAGGAAGGAAGGAAGGAAGGAAGGAAGGAAGGAAGGAAGGAAGGAAAGGAGGGAGGGAGGGAGGGAGGAAGGAAGGAAGGAAGGAAAGAAAAAGAGGAAAGGAAGGAAGGAAAGGAGGAAGGAAGGAAAAAGAGGGAGGGAAGAGGGCCAGACAGAATTGCAATTGTATCATTATGGATATCTTGACTTTTTTAAAACTCTATTCTATGAACATCCCTGAGAAGATTCTTGTTTTCTGGTCCATTTGCCTAAAATTTCCTCTTTGATTTTGAAAAAAAACCCATTAAAGTTAATACAAATACCCAAAAAATTGAGTTTCGTAAGAGTGAAAGAAAAGTTGAGAAAAGTCAATATGAATGGCAATTCTCTTGTAGGTCACGAAGGCCGAATAGGCATGGCATCCATACGCCTAGCAGATGGTTGTGAATTTAATGGGGAGATTCTCTACAAACATGTGACAGATTACTTGCCTCTTTACTCCAGACCTTATTTTGTGAGGATACAGGTAGGTCGTCTTCCATCTCTACCCATTTCTCAATTGGATAGGAAGTGCATTAGAGAATGAAAGCCATAATTTTCACGGATGGTGTTGCATCACATTGTTTGAAAGATCTCAGAACTTGCACATCCCCCATTGTGCTGTAATAAAGGTGGTCCTCAACTTACAACCAATTCACTTGGTGACCATCTGATGTTTACAACAGCTAATCACTGGTGGCCAATGATTCCCCCAGGTGTCCTGGGATCAATCCTCTGAATTCCCAGCAGCCATGCTAGACCAGCCTTTCTCCACCTCAACAACTTGAAGTGGTATGGACTTCAACTTCCAGAATGCTCCAGCCAGGATGCTGGCTGGAGGATTCTGGGCATTGAAATCCACCCATGTTGAAGCTGATGAGGATGTGCTAGATACTGTGCTAGATAGTTCAACTTCCAGCATGTCTGAAGGGTGCCATGTTCAAGGAGGCTTCCCAAGAGTCCTTTTCAGATGTTAAATCTGTCAAGAATAGCCTTTTGTTGAGCTTTGGCCTCGGGATTGTACTCTAATCAGCTTCATTTAACGATCCCATAATCCCTTATGGGAGTGTTTTAGTGGCCAGATGCCTTTCCTGTCCCAAATACGGAGTTTTGTTCAGCAGATATATTCTCATTGTCCCAGAGAGAGAAATATCTGCCTTTACCTAGGATCGAACTCACAGCCTCCTGATTGTGAGGCAAGAGCTCCACCTCTCGGCCACCGCAACACTCCTGGGATTATAGTCTAATGATGGGTTATTATTTAATTACTTGCATAACGGAGAAACAAAAATCCTTATGTTTACAAAGGAAGAATAATTATTTTTAAAGACTTTTACGCAACTTAGCATGGCTTTGCTGTTTCTTCTTGTTTTAATAGGATGCTCTTGAGGTCACGGGAACATTTAAATACCGGAAGGTGCAGTTAGCACAAGAAGGCTTCAATCCGGCAGTTGTCAAGGATGCCTTATATTTTGGGGATGATAAAGAGAAGACATATGTACCCTTGACAGAAGACATCTACAACTCGATATGTAGCAGCAGATGGAAACTATAGTGCTTCTGAATGTGTTACTATCTTTTTTTAAAGTATGTTGTTCGATAATTTTAGCAAGTTATGAAAAAAATGATTTTCAGTCCAATTGCACATTTATGCCTAGATTTTGGAATGTCCATACCTTACTAATTTTGTCAATATTTTAGAGGAAGGGCTGATGACCTTGGAACAAAGCTATTCTATCACCTCCGGACTGATCTGCTAATACAATTATATTCTACAAGTTTTGGAATCTTTAAAAGTTCATCATTTGTATAACCATACATCAGAAGCCTCCAATCTTGGCCACTTTAAGCCTGGTGGACTTCAACTCCCAGCAAAGCTGGCTGGGGAATTCTGAGAGTTGAAGTCCTCCAGGCTTAAAGTGGCCAAGATTGGAAATCCCTGCCATAGATTGTTGAGGATGTCAGAATGGTTCCCATTTGGCCCTCTCTGATCCTGTGCAAAATGAGGACATTCCCATCCCCCAAGGTAATAACTAACTGGACCAACCATGTAACGTGACTGTTGTAGCAGATACTCTGAGCAACCGCCAAACATTCCTTCATCTTATCATCTCAGAATCAGGGAGCCCTTTTTCAATATTAAGTCTTCTACTTCTGAAACATATCTTGTTTGCCAACTTCTTAACTCACCACATCCATGCATCCTCTGCCATGACAGTGTCTGTTTATTTGCTGTGAAAGCTGAAGATCTAGTCTAGGGAAGAGAAGGGCCAGGGGAGACATGATGGCAGTGTTCCAATATTTGAGGGGCTGCCACAGAGAGGAGCGGGGTCAAGTTATTTTCCAAGACACCTGAAGGCCAGACAAGGAATAATGGATGGAAACTGAACAAGGAGACATTCAACCTGGCAATAAAGAGAAATGACCTGACAGTGACAACAATCAACCCATGGAACAGAAGTTGCCTTCAGAAGTTGTGGGAGCTTCATCCCTGGAGGCTTTCAAGAAGAGACTGGACTACCATCTGTCAGAAATGGTGTAGGCTCTCCTGCTTGAACAAGGGTTTGGACTACTAGGTGACCTACAAGGTTCCTTCCAACTCTATTAATCTGAACTGAAATCGGAATCTCTGTGTAGGTCAGAAAGAGGTGACACTTTGTATATTAAGGGTCACTCTTTGTGTATCTCTAACCTCAACTTGCTCTCAGATGTTCCTATAAAAATGTTCTGCTGATTTTCATACCAGTGCGATCATAAGTAGTTTAATCAACACAATGCCCAATCTTCCATCACATAAATCTTTGCAATGTCTATTATGCTTGAACATCTCTTGTTCTTTCCATCCCTTTATTTTTTTAGAAAAAGCTTGGGATGTCTGCAGTATGATTTTTTTAAAAAAATTAGGATAGTGATGGTGGTGCAAAGTGCCTATGTTTTGTGTTTTTCATTTGCACTATTGTAGTTGCCATCTTCATTTTTTAAACCACACTTTTTGGATGCCCCTGTTGAAGGTTATAGTTATTCCAAATTGATTACATGCTTCACTCAAAGGAAGACAATGGGTAGTATCTCTTGAATGTTTGTATTTGCTGTGATTTGTGGCTTAGCTTGAATTTGACTCGGAGTGGGTTATTCAATAAAACCATGTCTCAACATAGTGTGGACCAAATCAATAATCAATCCGTGGAATCGATATGCCTGAAATGAAAACTGAAACTCTACGTGCCAAGACTAATTTTTTTTATTTACTTTATGAACTTACTCGGTATACAGGCTCTTTTTAAAAAAATAAGATCAGCAATTATGATATTACTGGGCCATAGATTATAATATTGCATACAAATAATCAGACTTAGGTTGTCATACTTTGGAAGAAGGCTCTTAAGAGCTAGATAATTGTCTGAAGAGGACAACAGGGCAATTGGAGACCACACTGAATGGTGCATTCAGGAAAACTGGGCATATGGTAAAACTGGGATTGTTTCTTCAGATCTTCTTTCTTGATCATCAGGATTTCTTTGGGCAGCTTGGAGAGGAATTTCCTGCTTGCGCAAGGTATGTTCTCCAAAGGACTGTCCAAGCTGAAGGAACGGACAGTTTTTGTCTTGTTTTGAGTGGAAAAACTCAAGACAGAAGGCAAGTCACAGTTGGTCAGATGTCGGCTGTTTTCTGTGAAGCCCTCATCTAAATGAGGCTCTTTGGCCTTTGGGATGTATGCGTTCAATAGTGACAATGAAGAGTTGAGAGATCCTCTACGCGGCTGCATGGTTATTCTGCTGAAAGGGACCACTTTACCCTTTTCTTTCTCTGTGAAAATAGGCGGAGCGATGCCCGCTGCTTTTGAACTGGAGTTGGTTAATTGATTGGGGATTTGGGCCTTCTCCTCTGGGATGAGGAGAGATTGATTGGAGATGTTCACTGCCGTCTGTTGGATGAGGGCCCAGTCTTGCTGAATATCCTCTCGGGTGGTGAACTGAGAAGTTACCGTGAAGCGAATGATCAACTTCTCCTGGATGGTTGCCGGGATGACAAACAGCTTTCCTGATTTGTTCAGGTCTTTTAAGAGCTTCTCGGTCATCCAGTTGGGACCCTGTTGGGAAAACATGAGAGTTTCTCAAAATAGCCATTGAGAAAGAATCAAAGATACATACCTGTCAGGGTTCTGGCAGTTACCCCACAATTAAATCATGAGTCTCGAGCCAAACTTCCAAAACTTCAAAAGGATTTATTGGGAGTTAACATGTCTGGCACTGCCTGGGTGTAGCCGACTCTGAGACACATCATTCATTGTCACCCTTGACCCTGGTTTTCCCCCACCCTCTGGGTGTATCCTAATTCATATTCTCCAGTGGGATGCATCCATAGCCAAGAGTCATCAATCATGCTCTCCAATTAGAATTATGCGAGGCAGAAACTTCAGTCACCTAGTTACCATCTTTGAAAACATTTATGGAATGCAGTTTGGGTTTTGCAAGCTGCTGCACTACTCCTCCCTCCTCCCTTTCTGTTGGCAACTCTAAAAAGACCATAGAAATATTTTATGAGTTGACACATACCCATGTACTGTTGAAAGGCATTAATAATCCTGTTTTGTCTTTTTTGCTATTTCACCGCCATTCCATATATACTCTTATATACTAGTCTCCCCAGCTGCCACCAATGAGGAGGATCATGGCCGCTTCCTCTCTTGTAAGTCAAGTTGTTGCCTCCTCTCTTCCTCCCTACATGCCCTAGGATGGAGAGGGGATGGGCCTGGTTCTTCCTCTGATTGCCCAGCCGGCCTCTGCCCTTCCCCAGCCTCCTCCACAACCTCTGGAGCCACACCTCCACTCCCAGTCGGCTGTTCCTCCTCTCCCTCGGAGTCCGACTCTAACAAGGGCATGACACAGTTATTAACTTATTTGAATCCCACCACTGGGTATATGGTCTCCTGCTTGAGCAGGGGGTTGGACTAGAAGACCTCCAAGGACCCTTCCAACTCTGTTACTCTGTTATTCTGCTATAACTGTCAACTTGACACTGTTCTAAGGAGCTGGAATTCAGTGCCCATCATTCCCCGCCAGCATGTTGGAGGAGAATGATGGGGTTTGAAGTCCAACGCACAGAGAGGGAAGCTGTTGTGGTTAGCCAGAAGCAGGTGTGGATGGCTGAGAAGACCGAGGACTCAGATGAGGAGCCAGGACCACTAGGGAGTGGACTGCTGCCTTCAGAGATTGTGGGGGCTGGCAGCAGCGATGAGGAGGTTCCCAAGGAGCCTGTGCTAACTGCTCGTCCACGCAGGATTACTCGTAGGAAAGAGTAGCTACAACAGCATGGGAGACTTAGGAGTAAGGCTGCAAGGTAATGGCCCCTCCTTCAAGAAGATAAAAGCCAGCTGTGAATCAGACGTTCTTTGCAGAAGGCAAAGACGTTTTGAAACTCCAGCCTCGTGGACATTCCAGTATCCTGAGTTTGTATTTGAAGATTCTTGTATTGCAAATTATTTCTTGTCTGTTATCTTTTGGCAAGACTCGCACAGTTTGGCAAGGCTTGTGCTTATTACAGCTAATTATTTTGCAGAAGCATTAAAAGGTTTCTGTTCTCTTTGGATTGTGTTTGATTTGTTGGAAAAGGGCGTGGGTCAGAACAGTAGCCCACTACAAGAGAATGGCATATGTTATAGTAAAATACAATAGGGAAATGTTACCTTTAGGCGAAAAACAACTAGTCCGAGATGCCTCTTAGCCGGGATTTCAAACAAGGGGTTGCTTCTGAGCAGTGACTCAAAATACTTGGCCATTTCAGTGCCCTGGGATTACCGAAAACAAAGCCAGCAATTATTTCCAATAGCAGAGCTACGCCGACAAATCTTTGAACCATCTACACAGGGTTGCCTGTAATTTGTAGTAGAGCAGATTGCTGCATTCAGGTAGTTCCTCAACTTACGCCCCCAAATATATGTTGCTAAGTGAGACCTTGATTCAGGGAGTTTTGCCACCGTTTTACGACTTTCCTTGCCACCATTGCTCAGCGAAACACTGCTGTTGTTAAATTAGCAACACGGTTGTTGAACAAATCTGGCTTCCTCATGGGATGCTGCAATGGTTATGAGTATGAAAAGAGCTCATAAGTCACTTTTCCAGTGCTGTTGTAACTTTGACTGGTCACTAAATGAACCGTCGTAAGTCGAGGACTACCTGTATTTTGTAGGACTTGAGAAAGTTTCCCCTTAGAGCTTATCTCATAGCTGGAGTCTCTCCCACCTAAAGATGACGTCCAGTGATTTTTTTTTTTTAGCCAATTCCAACCTCAAAATTCAGCAGGATTGTTTTTTAATAAATAATTTTTGTATTTTTAATATAATCATCCATCTTCAGTTGAACATTGTGCTGTCTGAGTACAAATATCTTTGTCAAACAATAATCAAAACTACAACTTCCTTCATTAAATTACTATTGATTCTGCAATCTTTAATAATATTCCACATATTAATTCTACAATATTAGCATAATAATATCCAACATACTGGTCATATCATTAAGTGTTGTACCTTAAGATTCTTGACAAATGTATCTT